TACACTGTAGCACGGTTTATAGAAAAATTACAATCAGAGAAAAACGGCTTATAAAAAAAAAATATTAGATTTTCTCCTACGAATTTATTTGTTAATTATAACTTTTCAATAAACCCAGCTTGTGTGTGACATTGAATCACATAATGTGCATAGAGAGAAGTGTGTAATCAAGAATGTTTTGTTTGTGCTACCACAGGAATATTTGAAATTTTTATGGGTAGATTCATTTCTTAATTACAACCTTATCGTTTTGACATATAAGTATTAAAGTTTTAATTCTACGTATCTACATGCATCATATGTTAATTTCAAGTCAAACAGTTGGTCAGACGCAAAGATAAACGTCATACAAACAATTATATATATGTATATGTGTATATATATATATATATATATAATATATATGCTTCAATTTCTCTGCATAACAATACTACAATCAAAAACAATCTTGATCAGTGTAAACAATTTATTTTACATAAGAGCAATACTCTGACATCAAAAAAGCGATAATAATTGATAATGTATAGTAATAAATAAAGTATGAAATGTAAATAATGGGTATTTACAAGTATGTAAATGGCAAAAAAGCTATAACAGAGACAAAATAATTGTTTCATCTTTCGTAAATATAATCTCGTATGTATTTGCAATAGATTCTGTCGCTTGTTTGCAAAAAGTACATCTTACGTCAATGTCGCATCATGTAATACCTGTACACTTAGAACCTAGAAAACGTGCAACCATAACACGTACCAACATGTAAGATGCCAGTGTTTCTCGCATGTAACAAACACGTGACAGATTCAATAAAAAACACATACTAATAGTATCCAGCATGAGTGCTTATTTTCTATAATAATTCACCTATAATATTTAAAGGGAGCACCATGATAAACACACATGCGGCTCTAAATCCCACTTGGAAAATTGATTAAAAATCTCGTGCTCATACTCTCGATTAACTTACGTTAACATAAATGCACAATTCCAATCCAGCACACTACACCACAATCATCACTCCCCACTTCTACCAATTTTTATGCATGAATCAAAGTTAAACTTTGATTTCAAATAAAAATATATAAGCAAAAATGTTACACGAGAATATGACAAAATATCACAGTTCCGAGTTTGAAAAGTCGCTTCTGAGAATCATGGCTCTCCCTATCCTTCTTTTATCCATATTCCAAGACAGTCATGAACTGTAAGACATCCTAGTTAACAACAATCCTACATCCTACTATGAGATTATCTATTTCAGAAATTGTAACGTTTAATAGTAATACATAGTCATATACAACTTGCTAAGGATGCTGTAAACTGTATACTGGCTGCTAAATGTTCCAAGTGAATACTGTATGTATAATGTATGTAAAAAGTCAGAGGTGATACATAGATTCAGAGCATATGGTGTAAATGAAGCCTAATTTTATTGTTTAAAGATTAATTGTTCAAGTTATGAAAACCGAAATAACGATGCGCAGTCTGCAATTTATTTCTATGGAAGAGTGATGAATAAACTACTAATAATGAAAAAATGTTACGTAGAAAATACATAATAATTCGCTTAAGTATTAAAAATATTAAATTTTAATACTTATATAATTATCCATCACTCTCCTTAAAACTTAGATATAAAATCAATCGATTTTAAAGTGATGTACATTTCTATTTTCAGTATATATAAAATTGAAGATGGAATGCTGGTGTATAAAATTTTATTAGTACATTTCTGCTCTTCTCCTATACTTTATATTTTTCTGAGTATTGCATTTGAAGAATGATGTCCCACTTTTTTCGTTACAGAATATAAAAATGTGATTAATGTAGCATTTATGGACAAAGCTAAACAATAGTATACAGCATTCCTTTCTTCTTTATGTTACTCTCGTTTGAAAGGTACAACGTTACTTCTCATTCAATATTCCTAGTATCATTCGCATTCCTGAATTAATTTTTATTTGATTACTTCTATAGGTAACACATAAGTAACAAATGCGTCCTATGTTAAAAATATTTCCAAAATGCTATAATTATACTTTTTATTAAAGTACTTCGTAAATCTATAAAAACAAAATGTCCATAACACATAAAAAACATAACTACTTGCACGAAACTATGGAATATTAAATTGAGAAATTGTTTGTACTCATAACCGCTGACATATTATTTAGTCAAATAGACGCATCGTAAAACGGCATGACAGTCAAGGCTAAATATTCTGAACATTTCAACAAATTGCACAGTTTAAAGTTAATTGAGATTATCTCATCTCCCTCGACATAAACACGATACTTTAAAAAAAGTACCTGCACAAATCGATTATCTTAATACAATACTTGTGACTAAATATTTACATCAATGCGTTTTACAGCTTCAGTCTATTAAGCTTCTGAATCGCGACAGCCTTTGAACTTTCGCAATATGCGACATTTTATGAAATTATTATTAAACTAATCATTTATCGCAATACCACTTAAGTTTCCTACTGAGCAGGTGGTTGTGGCTCGCTAGGCATATTAGGGTTTGGATATGGCGACAAAAATGAATAATTCGGATAAGGTGGTGGTGGATGTGGGAATGGAGGGTAATAATTAGGCGGATGTGAAGAAGGGGGTGCATAACTTCTATGTATATACGGATCTGCTGGTGGAGGAGGACCATGAAATGCTGTGTACATGCGAGCATATTCCGTATTGTAACTCGGTCCGCCATACGCTGGATATCCAGGAGCACCTGTTTCACAAACTTTATTTTAGTACAATTTATTTTTTAAATCAACATTATGAAATAAAAAAATTTGAACTTACCACCTGGTGGATAAGTTGCTGAAGAACCGGGTGCGGGAGGATAATGTTGTGAATATGGGTCATACGGTCCCGGTGGATAAGGTCCAGGGTAACGACTACTCGTAGGATGACTAAACGCAGTAGGTATATGCGTATCATCCCTAGTGGGAGTAGTTGCAACCGTTGTAGTTACCATCGCTTCTGCACCTTTTGCTTCTGTGGTATTTACTAATGTTTTGGCAGTAGTATTAGGTACTTGCGAATATGCAGGTGGCACATTCATCATTGTCCTCTCTTCCATAGGTTTCCCCAAGTCTGGTTGTGCCTTAGCGGTATCCATTGGTAATCTAGGATTCGCTGCGTGAGGGGGCACACCAGGGAAATACGTTCCATAAGGAGTAGACAATGATCGTGATCGAGGATCACTATAATCATAGTATCGAGGATACTGAGCGTAAGGATAACCTTGTGGAACATTAGGAGGCTCGCTTTGCATGGAACTTTCACGCATACTTGGTTCTGTTGTTTTTGGAGATGTCATGGTATTTGTTCCAGTACACATAGATGTAGTAGAGGAGCCAATAGTTGAGTCCGTTATACTTTTAGATATTTCCGTGCCTCGTAATGCAGGTGTTGGTGGTACTTGCATAGTCGACGGTATAGACTGCGTTAACAGCGGTGGTAATGGACCAGATGATGTTGATTGCGTTGCAACTTGTGATGCGGCTTGAGATATTGCTTGAGGCGGTATTTGTGGTGGTCCTTGTGACGATAACTGAGGAGATATCTGAAGTGGTATTTGTGAAGGTAACTGTGGTGGTACTTGCAATGATACTTGAGGTGGTACTTGAGGTGATACTTGTGACTGTACTTGTGGCTGTATTTGCGATGGTACTTGAGGCTGTATTTGAGGAGATGGATCTTCAATTATAATATCATCACTGGACGCATCTCTTTTTTCTGTTTGAGTTGGAAAACTATGCCCATAATTTGTTAATGTATCAGCTGTTTTCGTAATTTCTTTTTCAATCAAAGGAGAACACTGTTTATCTATTTTTGACGACAATTCTGTTTCCGTTTGATCATGCTGCGTTTGAACACTTTGCGCAGTTACAGAATCCGAAGTATACACTTGATTATTTTCTTCAGATGACTTTTGTAGAGAAGTATCGGTATCTGAATTGGTTACGCGGTTATGATTAGGAGGACTATAATCTGTGTTCGAACTTACTTCAGCAACTACATCCTCCAATCTGACTTCTTCCACCCTTTGTTCTGTTCTAACTTGACCATCTGAAGAGTTCGAATTTTCTCCAAGTGTCGAATGATCTACCGGTTCTTGTTTTACTTTTGGTAATCTTTGTAGAGAAACTTGATTAGTTAAAGTAACTTGACTCAAATAAGGTTTAGCAGTTGCGGTAGCAACGGGTTTTGGTCTTTTTGAGGCTTCTTTGTCAGCAAACGGCCTGTAGTTAGGACCACTTCCCGGCTTATTGATTGAACGACCACTTGGTTGATTACTTGAAGATGATTTCGGTATTATAGAGATAGCTGAATTATTTCTTAGTGGAAATCCGACTTCTGGTTTTGAATTCCTCTGCGTAACTGACGATACACCTATAAATATTTCAACATAAAAACAAAAAAGTTAAAAATTAAGAAACTATCATCATAACAACACAATTATTAACATACCTTTTTTCGGCTCTTCTTCTCGCTTTTGTTGATTCAGCTTAAGAGCTGTTCGAATAGCAATAATTTTACCCGATTCCAATTGCATATAAATGCCCTTTGGACTTTTCAGTACCATCACTCGTTGACCAGCTTTCAATACAATACTTCCTTTATCAGGTGAATTTGTAGGAATAACAACATCTAAAGGTAACGTCATTTCTTGAGCGCTCATTCCTTGCCTCTGCCATACTTCTGCTGGTATCCATCGACTTCCCGTCACACTTCGTGAACCTAAACCTTCAGCACCACGTTGCTGCATTGGTCTAACCGACGCAACTGGCTTAGAAGTAGTACTGCTATCACCACCTCGAATTGCTCGAATTTGTAATCCACCTGCTACAATAACATAGCATACAAAATACACATATTTTTATGAAAAATGAATGTAATAAACTTAACAATACAGAAATTGTACAATTCTAAATTACTTGAATTAAATTTTAGAATGAATCGTACCCCGAGTAGCAGTATTTCCGGGAACATAGTTGTAACTAGGTCTGGAACAATTAGCTGCCATTTTTTCAAGTTCGTAACCACGCCGAGCTAATCGTTTCTCGGCTTGACTAAGTTTCTTGTCTTTTCTATCGACAAGAAGACTCTCATGATGGAATGGCTGTTTTGTTAACAACGAAGAATGTCGTTCTAACACACGATGCATGACTTCATCAGTATAACTGTCTTTTGTTTGTGAAAAATCTTGTACTTGACTATCTTCTTCCCAATCCCAAGATAATGTAGTTGCTTCTTTTAGTGACAGATGAGCATCTGGATTGCATTGATCAACAACACGATCTGCCATTCCTTGCTTACTAATTTGTCTGTCATATATTTTTCTTTCTAAACAATTGTCAGTGACCAAACGATAAACAAAACAAGGTTTTTGTTGTCCATATCTATATACTCTACATACAGCTTGTGTATCATGACAAGGATTCCAAGAAGCATCAAACACAATGGCACGATTAGCGCCAACAAGATTAATGCCAAGTGAACCAGCACGTGTTGAAACAAGAAAAAGGTGAATTTTTGGATTGTTATTAAATTCGTTAATAAGCTTCTCTCTCTCTAAAGCACTAGTACTACCATCCAGCCTATAATAATTTACATTTTTAATCCAAGCATCTGTTTGCCCATCTGGATATTTCAAACTATTTCTAGCTAAAAAATCTTCAATAAGATTCAATGTAAATAATGATTGAGAAAATGCTAAAACACGGTCACCAAGTTTAATAGCTTCTTCCAAAATACAAAAGAAAATTGTCATTTTTGCAGATGCATCAATTAATCCTGGTACATATCCTTTCATTAACTCTGTTGCCTGTAAGTAAAAAAATAAATTAGTCGCTTACAGATGAATATTACTTATTTTTTATTCATTATATTTACCCAATCATATGGGATTCCAGGATCTTCTTTTCCACTTGGAAAACTTTTACAATCCTTTTCTTCATCTTTTGTAAGAATTTCGTCATCTGATTTATCTTCTTTATCTTTATCTAGTAAGTCTTCTTTATCTTTTTCATCTTCTTTTACTAAATCACTTTGATTTAGTCGAGGACTATGCAATGAATTATGACTTTGCACAGATCTAGATACTGGAGTCTGGCAGTTTGACTCAGAACTATAGCCTGAGCTTGTAGACAAATTATTTTGATGAATTGTCTGACTCTGTACACCAACACTTGATGTCATCTCTTTGTTACCTTTGGTTTTCTCAGATCCTGAATTTTGAATATGAGTACTAGGTTGTTGGGATTTTGATTCATCGGAGCGTGTATTAATATCTGAATTATGATTATTACTATAATCATAAGATTGGTTTTGATAATTTTGTGATGGAAAGTAATTATTCTGATATCGATTCACATTAGGATTTACATCCCGATAATACGGATCGTTACACTGATCAGATTGAAATGATTGAGAATAATTTCTTTGCCAATAAGGATCCTCTGGTCCTTTCATTTGATTTACTTGATTCTGATGTGCTCCATCTGATGAATAATTTGATAACACACTGTTTTGAGGCTGTGTTTGGTTTACAGGATAATTATTTGTAGAATTCGTAGATGAACCTCCACTTTGACGATCTGTTGAAAATTCGTGGGATGGGTTAGCTGCTGATGTATAATTTTGAGTTTGTTGTTGATTATCAGGTCTAGGGTACAGTTGATCACTTTGATTTAAAGAGGTTGGTGCTTGCTGATTTTGAGAATATGGAAGAGATTGATTCTGAGATTGTTGCATTTGTCCCTGTTGAGAAGAACCATATCTATGAGCTGGAGTTGGTGGAATTGGTGCTGAAGCTTGATGATTAGGGCCATATGCATGATTTGCACTTGATGGAGCTCCTGTTTGATTTTGTACATTAGGTGGATAAGATTGACTTTGTGGTGTTGATGGAGACATAAGATGTGAGTATCCATGCATAGTATTCTGTGCATTAGAAACTGGCCCTTGCTGATCTTGAGGATATCCATGTGTTTGAGTAGGAGCATTTGGAACAGATTGGCTTGTGGGGTATGAAGATGAATTCTGTGGTACATTTATTTGATTTTGAGTTGCTGCAGGATACCCACGCATTTGATTTTGTGGAATTGAACCTTGATTTGATGAATTTGTCATATATGGATGAGGTTGGCTTTGTGACATATGATTTGGAGATTGCTGATTAAAATTAAGTGATGTTTGTGATGAAGGATTTGGATTTACTTGGGTGGGATAATTGTGGGGTTGATTAGGTAATGGCATATTTTGTGGTTGTGAGCCAGCATAAGTATGAGAAGAACTTTGCAAGGGAAGATTTTGATTTTGTTGATTCGGCGAAAAGCCACGATTTTGACCAGATGTTGCATTCTGTCCTTGTTGACTTGGAAGATAACCAGCAGTTGGAGTTTGAGATGTTGAATTTTGACTTTGTTGATTTCCACCATATCCTAGTGTAGAATTTTGTAATGATTGACCTTCATTTCGTGAGTACATTGAATTTGTTTGGCCTGTTGCAGAATTATAATTTTGAGTTTGATTTGAAGCATATGGAGAATAATCTGGTAGTGGCATATTTGTAGATTGATTTGGCATCTGTGATTGAAAAGACGACTGATTTGGAACTTGAGAATAATTATTAGATCCCTGATTTATATTTGATGCATAATTACGTCCATGATCTTGATAAGGATAAGATTGACGTGAAAACATTCCAGGTACTTCATAATTGTTTCCTTGATTCTGATCTGGACGAAATTCTGAATTGGAGGGAGTATTTGGATACCTTTGAGAATGATTATTTGCAGATTGCTCATTGTTTGACATATAATTTTGTGGTTGATTAGGATAATTTTGTGAAGCATTGTACCCTGGAGTTTGTGCATATGTTTGGAAGGACTGATTTCCATACCTTTGTGATCCTTGGTTATTATAAAACTCATTGTATTCTCCATGATTATTATCATTCCTATAATAAGTATTTTGCTCATTTGATCTGTAATTCTGATAACTATGGGGATAAGAATTTTGTGACATAGAATTTGAATACCCTGAATTATTCATTGGTATAGGAGGATAATTAGAATAATTATTTTGTTTTGAAGTGGTATGTGAGGTATCAGACTCTACATTATCAGTGTTAGATGATGAAGAGGCATTAGGCTGTACACTAGCTGCAGGTTTATTTTTTATTGTTGTATTTGTTTTCTTTCCTTTCTTGGATTCCCCTTTCGTTTGTCGTGCTTTGGAACGTTTACCTCCGGGAGCAGGTTTTTCACCCATTGTTTCTTCTAAATCCAAATCATCTTCTTCATTAGCCTGCCGTTTGCGCAGAAAATGATACAAAATATCAGGATGATTCCAAATTTTACAACATACTGCAAAAGCCTTCAATGGATTAGGTACAGCACGTGTTTTAACTACTTGATTCATAAAGGTGTCATATAATTTTCGTTGATGCGGTGTCATTCTAACAAGAAGAATGTATTCCTCTTTACGTGGTAAAGAGACTTGCAATACAGAATGGGACCTTCTTTGTACAAAACCTTCTAATAAAGCATGTAATACATGCGCACGATATCTCATTAAACGTATGTCTTGTGGTGTTGAATCAATACATTGTCCATTCTGAATTGGTCTTTCAAACATATTACAGAATTCGCTTTTAGTTCCGAGATAATTCGGTCTTACAAAGTCAACCATACACCAATATTCTAAAAGATTATTTTGTAATGGATAACCAGTTAATACAATCCTACGTTTTGTGCGCATTTGTTTCAAAGCCATACTAATACTAGCATGAGAATTTTTTATTCTATGACCTTCATCACATATAACTAAATCAGGTCCCGGATTAACTAAAGCTGTATGCATTTCATCTAGTAATCCTTTATTCTTGTCTTCTTCTTCAACATCAACAGTATCTTTGAAAGGTTGCCCACGTTTTCTTTTTGCTTTGTTTGGTTTTTTTAAAGATAACTGTCTATACAATTCATACCCAATTAATAAAACACCACCTCCTACTTGCCAATCTTGAATTATTTTTGCCCTTGCTGTCATGGTTTTGTGAGAATCGTTTAAAATATGCAAACGAAAATGTCGTGGTCTCATTTCCATACCAATACAAGCATCTACACTGAATGGAGTTTTAACTTTCTCAATTTCCTTTTTCTCTTCACTAACTATTTCTTCTTTTGTTGTACAAGTACCTTCCTCTTTTTTAATTACTTCTTCTGGTTCCTTTTTTATATTAACTTCTGTATTTATAGAGGGTAAAGTATTCTTAAAACAATCTTTCCTTGATTCTTGATCTGATTCTTGAGTTGATCGATGTGTATAGTTAGGGAAAGTATTAGTAGAATTATCATAATTAGAATACATTGGCTCAGTATGATGACTTTCTATTCCATGATACAAAGTATTAGGATTTCGAGTTTCCATACCAGGATACATAGGGGCTTGTGGCTGGTTTTCTAAACCAGGATATATGTTACTGGAATTCTGACTTTCCACTCCAAATTTTGTATCTGGCATGCTGGGCCTCTGTTGCATGCCATGACAATTTACTTCTGATTTCATTGTATCAAAAGTAGACATTGGATTGGGATTTGCATTATACAATGCATTTTGTGAAATATCACTATGGTAATTTTCATTCATATGTACTTGTGAATCTGACATATTTTTATTTAGCACAGTATCCTGCACATAACCAGGTATATTATGAGGTTCATATCCTTGATGAACATATGGATTCTCTGGCATAATATTTATAGGTTGAGATGTATTTTCTTGTCCAAAACGATGTGCTGATTCTGTACTAATAGGCCTTGAGATATTTGACATACTTGACATATTTGACATGTCACTTTGATTTCCACCTTCATCTTTAACTTCTTGTTTAAATTCTATACCAGCTTCTGATTTAATACCTAAGATTTTGCCATGTTTTTCTGGGGCATTAGGATCTTCATATGGTAACCACATATTAAATTCTGCTAACCAATTTTGTAATGTATTAATGGGCATAATACAAAGAACTGTTTTAGCAGTAGTGCATCGAAAAAAAATATCACAAAAGCTAGCAACTTGAAGTGTTTTTCCTAAACCCATACTATGAGCAAGAATACAACCAAAACCAGAACTAGTTTTGAATCTCTCAATGCTTTCAACAATATTGTCATAAAGAAAACGAATACCACCAATTTGATGAGGTTTAATAATACGGGCTACCTGTGGAGCTAAAAATACATCAGGCTCTGTTTCAGGATGACCCACATTTATTAACACTCTACCATGTTCATCTGGAATGTTGTATCTATCATTAGTATGCATGCCAGAATTGGATGGATCATCTTCGTTGTCTGTTTCTTCTTCTCCACTTGGGTCACTTAAAACTATACAATCATCATCCGAACTTTCGCTAGAACTAGATATTGTAACCACATCTTTGCCTTTAGCTGCTTTCTGAGACTTTGGTCCAATTAACATTTTTTTAGTAGCATGCATTTGTTTTTCACGTAAAGCCTCTTCAGCTTCTAGATCCGAGATTTCGGAATCTGAGTAATATTCAGATCTATCCATAGGTTCCTTTTTGGGAACTACAGGAGATATGCTCACAGAAGGAGTCATCATTCGAATTCTTTGTTGCAACATATTGGGACCAGTAGGACGATTTGCAACTCGAGAAATTGATGTTTGTGCTCCTTGATAAACACCTCTACCTTTTTGCCACCGAGATCCTTCTACCGATCTTCTTTGTATTTGATTTGTTTGCATGCTAGAAATAGTCTGAGATCCAGTTCCAGATCCAGAATTTACTTTAAGAAGTACTGTATTTGGTAAGCGAACTGGCGCAGATGGTGACGATGACGAAGATGAATGTGATATTGTAGTACCTGCTTGATTTTGTTTTCCTTGTAAAAGACTAATTACTCTTGTTTGTGTTTTATTATTTTGTCTGTTTATTGCTATCTGTCGTTGAACTTCACGAATAATTCTTTGTTGTTCTTGTACCCTTCGAAGACGTTCCATTTCTTGTCTCTGAGCTGATAAAGTAGCTTCATCAAGCTGAGTTTCATCCATAACTTCACGAATATTTCTCCTCATATTTGCTAATTTCTTTTCTGCTTTTGTTTCACATTCTGATGTAGATCCTTCAGTTCCATCATCTTTTTTCTGCTTCTTTTTAATTGTATCAGAATGTTCTGAATCAGCATGCCTCTTGTTGCTGTCAGTACTTTCTTCTCCCATGGAATGACTTTCATGTTTGTCATTTTCATGTCCTATGCTTTCTTCATCATCTGTGTCCTTTGAAATTGGTTTCCCAAGTAAATCTGCTTCAGATACTTCTTGACCCTCTATCGGGGCTCCTTTTAAGATAAGTAATTAGTATTAGTGACATAATATCACAATGTAATATTATTATAGAAAAGTAATATTATACAAACCTTCCAATGGCAAAGTATCCAATATATTAACTGGTTCCTCATCATCCTCTTCAGGTGGAGAATGATGTTGCCGTTCTGATTCCAAACGTACACCAATTTGTGAATCAATAGTTTCATCTAAATCCATATCGTCTCCTGAACCTTCAGAACGTATTTCTTCTATTTCCTCTGACTGCAATGTATCATTTCTTTTGTCATGTTCTCCATCAGACGTTTCACCACTAGATTCCTCTGAACTTTCATCATTTCCAGTTTGAGGCTCTACATTGTTCATGTTTGTATTTGTTGAAGTTTCATTCGACATTACTGCTTCATTAGGTTTAGGGCCTGCACGAGGAGTCACACGTTCTATAGTGACATCCCCAATACGTGTTAAAAAACTGTCCAAACTATTTGACATGTTGTGTAAAGTTCATTAAGTCACAATGTGTTTTACTAAAATTTTGTATGAAATCATGGAATGTCTTGTCACTTTCCTGTGTAACACTAATAATTAAGTTGCTTTTATATCACTTATACCATTTATCCATAATTTTATTTTCTTTTATGCCTGTAATAAGAAATGTATTCCTTTGTAAGTACAATTTTAAAAAACAATAATAATTTATTTTAAAAAACTATAAAATTAAAAGAATTTTTATCTAAAGTGATATACAAATAATGAGAATTAAAATCCAAAAAAAGAGAAATGCAAAACAGACAGCACAAAAGGAAAATATTGCGTTTTATGCATACATTTACTGTAAATTGAATTTGACAATTTATTATAAACCCTCAATGTAAAAATATAGTATTCAATAACTTTAAGTGAATAATAATTCATTTATGGAATACATTGCTATATCACATACAATCATTTTAAACAATGCAGATATATAACAATACATTTGTATTTCATACAAAATGTAAAGTATATAAAACAAAATTTACTTTGTTACATATGAAGCAATACAAATAAACAATTAATTAATATTAAGATTAAGATATCTGAACATTAGAATAGAAATTAATAGTTATAAAGTTACATTTAGATATGTTTACTTGGAAGAATGCATGCGTGACATATTATTGAGATACATAAAGGTATGAAAACAAAATAGTCCAAAACAGTGTATAACCTATGAATTATTATAAACACTTGCAATTAAACACACTTGTTGAGAGATTAGCTTAGTTACATTTTCGAGCTCACGAACAAACTCTAACGGCAACGGTTTGGACCATACTGTTTAATGAAAGGGTCATAGCGGAAGCACAATTTAGTTTGTGACGCCGTAACCGAAGAAGTCGAAGTAAGGTATTCATAATGTTCCAAGTAATTTAGAGTAGCTGTCAAACAGGGGGAATGAAAGTAGTCCAGAATGTTTGTTTTTGGACGAGCCGATCCGGCTCAACGATTAACACTAGGAAATCGCGTCGTTTAGCAACCGGCGTCAGCACGAATCTCACGCGCGTTGAACTCTACTTGCGATCCGCATTTACGACTGCTTAATTAGCCGTTAATTGCGGATTAAAAATAATGACACACACATACACACGTCCGATGGACGCCATAGCGTCGTTGTTCGCCGCTCGACGATCACGGTTCTCCGCAATGTCCGAAGATCAGCAAACAAGCCTTGTCACTCGGGTTAATGCACGCATCATTTCAACCTCGGCAGTCGATTTCTTTTCACTTAAAATGCATGACGAGGTCACGAGGACTCACTTTACCACCGAAACTTCACTTAAGTTCGCACGCGTCGCTCTCAAGCTTTCCGCGGCACTTTTTTTCACGCACTTTTTCTAACAAGTATATTCCACTCGGTGGAACGCCATCTTGGCTGCGCTATGAAACACATCCGTTGAGTGTTTGCGAGGGAACGACATCGCAACTTTATTTCGCCTTTTAATATCTTTTTGTTCTTTTCCTACCTTTGATTACTATTTTTAATAAACGACCTTCTTTATATTTGAAATAATTATCATTAAATAAATACTCATACGATCACATGAAGGCATTAGTGTGATTAGCCTTGTATTTTTTTTTTATTAATGACATCTTTTTTATTACTTAATTATTTTAATAAGTGAATTAATATGTTGAAATTTATGATCAACACTTTGAATCAAAATTATGAATATTAACACACCAAATTATAGTAAAGATTATTTTATTCATATTGTTATTGTATTACAATTACATAATAGTTTTTATATTAAAAACATACAGTAAAAACATTACATGTCTTTCTTTTTATATAAATATACGTAGATCATAGTAATTTCATTAATGTACCTTATTTATAAGGTATTTATCCAGATATTTACTTAATAAGTACAAGATTGATATACATAAATATGATTATACAAATATTATAACTAAAATTAGTACGATCTAATACTTAATATAGTATAATAGGGTACATGTCAAATTCTGTTAATTTAAACTAAGGAAAAACTGAGTTCACATAGTTAAATGTCTCTTCATTTATATATAGGGCATATAACATAAGATTGTTATTTATGCATTGCATGTGGTTTGATTTTCATTTGTGCTATAGAATGCTGACAATTTAGTAAAGGAAGCAAATAAATAAGTCTGTCAGCATTGATCGGATATAATGACAATAAACTTCAATTTGCACTTTCACATGCATCAATCCAATCATTATACACGTCTAAAGGTTCAGAAAGTAAATTAATTGTTGTTTGAAAGTCTTCTAGGCAGACTCTGCAAGTAATTCTTGCTGTGTTCCTTGACTTATCCCTATAAATAAAAAGAAAAAGCAGTAAAATACGAAATTTAAACAGTATAAGAATCGGCAGCAAATTTGTTATACCTACATCTTAACCTCACATGATTTTTCGTGATTACAAAACGGACAGTTAAATTGTATATCTAAAGGTTGAATAGCTTTTTTTTTACTTGGTGGCTTTCGTTTACTCTTTCTTCGGCCCATTACGTTTAAAATGTATTAAATTATACGGATTTTTACTAAAAATTTTACATTTAACATACACTACTTTATACCAAGCTTTGGTACATACTATTTATATTGTAAACTGTTGCGTACAATCAAGCGGTTATAGTATAACGCCATGCAGTTCGCAAAAAATTCCTAGGCTTGTGCGTAAGCATGAGATATGCTGTACAGTTTTAGAGATATATTAATAACATATTTTTAAAATATAATTTTTCATTTTGTATATAACAATGAAATTATTAAATTATATTGGTTAACTTGAGTCGTAAAGTTGACGATTAAGTATTATATCTGAATGATCAAATGCATTTGACTACTTATACATACACTAAACACGTGAGCGGGACACAAATATGAATTAAGTATTTGGGTCCTTAATAACACTAAGAAATATTTTTATATCAATAAGTTAAGCGATAATTATTATTGCTATTGTAATGTCATGAGTACTCTAACTGTGTATCCTTTAAAATAAGCAGTTCCATATTGTTACATATAATTCGTAAAATAAATATTATAGAAATAACCTTAATTTTGTATAGAAGTTTGTCTATACCTTTCCCATCTACAAGGGAAGCAGAAATTGTCTATCAAGTGTTGAGAGTTGATAAAGAACCTTCAAGAGGTAGTGTTACAAAAAATTTAACTTTAGATAACAATTTGTTGCAAGTGTAAGTTTTGATGTACAAGTATTATATTTATTTTAATATCTTATGTTTGATTATGTTTATGCATGTGTGTTACTATTATGTATTACTTTTTATAGATTATTTTCTGGGACTGAGGCACGAAAAGTTCGAGTGGCATTGACATCATTTTTTGATAGTTTAATTTTAGTAACAGAAACTATGCAAAAGTTTGGTTCACTTGAATCAATTTATAATTATTATTAAGTAAATGTTCATTGTTTATTGATTTCAAAATTGTTTCCATTTCATTATACGAAATGGAACATACACCTGCTCCATATGGACCAAGATCTGTTTATGGATATGCTTTATACATAGGTTCAAATATGCTCTTTCTCTTATTTTTATTATGGGCAGTAATACCAGATGAAGTTTTACATAATTTAGGGTTGACATATTGGCCTTCAAAGTACTGGGCTGTAGCCATTCCAATTTGGGCTTTAACTACTCTTGCTACATTTGCATTTATAATTTATCCAGCTATAAATTTATCTATGACTCCAGATATAGATGATATTGTTACTATTACAGATAAATATTCATGTTCCAGAAATGAAACTGTTTCAGGTGGTATATCTCCTGTATTTGATATTCCAATAACAGAAGTTTGTAGAAAGTTATATTTACCAAGAAAGGAAAAATAAATAAGATTTATAAAAATTTATTTTATTTTATTTCTTTCATTTTTCATTTTTGCATTCATTATTCTGTCAATGGTAAAAAATGTTATACTTGGATCTCTTTCACCTCACAGTCTTGACGTAAAAGAATTTCAATAAGATACTTGATTAGATATACTCATGCATAGAGAAACTTTGTTAATTCTGGAATACCACTCACTGCATAGAGACTTTGCCACTTTAATGTCAAACCTCAAAACTAATATCAAAACTCCCAAATCTAGATATCTAGATTGCAGGTACTTAGAGGAATTTTCCTTCGTCACTGTTAAAATTAGGCAATGGGGTTTCATAAGCACATTTCTATAAGCAAGTTAGTTGTTAGATAAGCATATACAATTCGTCTGTTTTTCATCGTGTTGTATGTAGACATATAGTTTCTATAATCGAGTAACTTCATTGACCAATCGTTTTTACTTTTGTATCAAAACTAATGAACTCCATTTCAGGACTCACTGGGACTTGATTTTTGAATTTTAAAAAGATAATCAAATATATAATTTAACTGAATAAGATTCAGTACTTTAAAGACATTAAAAGCTGTAGGATGTTATAAGAAGGTTAAGTTTGGCCCCATAGCAACACGTTTAGGATCGAGTAACAACATAATACATATAGGGTGAAGGTGTATGTGATTCAGACGAATACTAAACCTTTTAAGAAGATTCAGAGACCTTACTATTAATATACTCATCGGCATAAAATATCCAAAAAAATATTTTAATAATTTTCCAAACATAATATTAAGATTTTTATTTACACAATTTTTTTGAGAAATTGTATGCTAGTCTCTACGTCATACTAAACTGTATAATCTCGAATTTCATATATTGCGCAATTTGATAACGAGAATGTTATATAGTTTGGAGAAAAAAAGAGTGCGCAGTTGTTAGCTGTGTTCTACGACTACACATAAGAAGAAAATTATGGAAAGATTCGTTTTAGGGAATAAAATACTCGGAAAATCTGTCGATAATAATGAATGTAAGAATATTGCAAACCGGCCTATAGATACACAACGCGAAAACGATTTAAGAAAAAAATTAAAAAATAGAATTGAAACAAATACTATATTTTGTAGTTTTGAGCTTACACGTGTAAAGAATAATGATTTTTACAAAAGGTTCGTACACTACGCAGTTTGTAATACGTAAAGTGTTTTTACTCATATTTATAAAACTATTGGTTACTAGCTTTTTTATAGAAATGGATAAGTATCGTCCTCTTTTTTATGCGTTGACATGGCATACGAAAAATGAAGTAAACGATTCTTTATATTTAGACATATTTAATATAGTTTCGAACAACACACTTATACATCTTATAGCTAATAACTTAACTCGTGCTGATGTGCGATTTATTCTAAAGAAAGCTTTCGATTATGGTATACGTAATATTTTTGTATTAAGAGGAGGTAATTAAATATTTTAATGAAATATTTTATAATTAAAATTCTTTACAGTAAAAATTTTCACGATCAAAATTGGTAACAATGAAATTTCAGATTCTACAAATACAAGCAGCGATTTTCCATATGCAGTTGACTTAGTACGTTTTATAAGAAATCAATTTGGTGATATATTTTGTATATGTGTTGCTGGTTATCCAGAAATGCATCTAGAATCACCATCTAAAGAAATGGATTTGTTTTATTTAAAAGAAAAAGTACTTATA